ATCCTTCCCTTCCCTTCCCTTCCCTTCCCTTCCCTTCCCTTCCCTTCCCTTCCCTTCCCTTCCCTTCCCTTCCCTTCCTCTCTTCTTCCTTCATTCCTCCCTTCCTCTCCCTCTTTCTCCTTCCTCCCTTCCTCCCTCTTATTTCCTTCCTTCCTCCCTCCTTGTCTCCCTCCCTCCCTCTTTCTTTCTCTCCTTCCTTCCTGGAAAGACATTAGCAATTACAACTGAGCATCTCACCGAGTTCACACCACCTCGAAATCACGCACTGCGGCTTACAAGCCACAATTGGCTGGGTTCACACATTACGCTAAGCCCAAGTCAAACAATCCCATTGTGGCTGAACGTGCAGCTTCCGAGAGCGTTAGATGTTACTGAATTGTACGTGGAAATTGAATCATTGCATGCCAAAATGTCATGCTTAAGGGGAGATTGTTACTAGGATAGAGAGCGATGACACTATTTTCTGTTGGAATTCAATACCAATCCGGAAGTCTATTTATTACGACTTTTAGCCAGCAGTTGGAACTAAATAAAATCAGCGTTAGCTTTTATTCTTCCATCCTCGGGAAAAAAATCAGCTGAATTCGTACACCTGCTCAACCAAACCGAAACGGTCCAGAGGCTTGCACGAGGAAATTCGTAAGATTTGCTTTGCAAGAAGGGGCCAAATTCTCTTTATCTAGGTTTGTAGCTAGGAGTTGGATGTCCTCTGGGCACTGTTGCAAAGCGCTGGGAGCCATCTCAGAGATCCTGCCTGTGCTGGATCTTGCTGTAAAAAAAAAAAAAAAACTTCCCTTTTTATTTTTTAAACTTTTTAAAAAACTGTCCCATCCGTGCACACAAATCTAAGACAGGGCAAAGGTTTCTCCGCTGGAAGAGTTTACCTCCAAGCGTTGGTCTCTCCAGATGTTTGACTCCTGGCAGATTCACCCAGCAACCACTGGATCAGTGTTTGTCAACCTTGGCCACTTGAAGATGGGTGGACTTCAACTCCCAGAATTCCCTGGCTGGGGAATTCTGGGAGTTGAAGTCTATCCATCTTAAAGCCTGCTGGCTGGGGGATTCTGGGAGTTGGTCCACCCATCTTCAAGAGGCCAAGGTTGAGAAACACTGCCCCTGTGCCTTGTTTTAAGGCATTGCCTGCCTGTCTTTGAACCCCCATATGGACTAGAAACATAGCATTTGCAATTCAAAGCTGCAGTCATCGGCACATCTGCAGCTTCTCAGCGCTTCCAGGTGCCCGACCTCAGCTGGAAGAGACCCCACCTAGGCAGGGGGTCGGGCTGGCCTTGATTTCGGATGCTGGCTTCTAAGGTCAAGCAAGGTTAGACCGTCCCTTGGGGTCCAGGGCCCAATTCCCAGGCAGGAGCAGGCCCCCCTGGCGGACGCCCCCCCCGTTCGCTGACCTGCCTGGTCAGCGAGGTTCCTGACTGCCTTTTTAGCGTATTCCCCCTTCCTCTTTCCTCCAAGCCGGTCTTCAGCCCCTGCCACCCAAAACGGGAAGCTGAACCCGAGTCAACTGGCCATCAGCGAGCTGAAGAACTGAACGTAGCCCCTGCAGGAAAACATGTGCTTTGTGGTTGTGGCCGCCCTGCAGAGCCCAGGGCGGTGGAGCAGCCGCGCTCAGCTCAGATCCTTGACGCCGGTCAGGGGGAGCAGGAGGAGACGCAGCCGGATTTCGTGGGCACTCGCCGCGGGGTGTCAGCCCAGAAGGTCTTTTTTGGAGACGGGTCTCCAAGATGAAGTTCCTTGGCGTGGCCCTTCGGGTTCTTCTCGTGGCGGGGGTAGCAGGTAAAACCCACCTCCGCCTCTTCTATCTGGGGGGGAAGGAAAGAGCCTAAGAAGGGGAGCGAGTGGGTTTGGGGGGCATCACGACCCCTTTGGCCAACCGGATTCATTGAGTTAATCCATGGTTAAGTCAGAGGGTTAGCTGTGGGGCAAAGCACCTTGGCAATGCTGGGTTTTCCTTCCAAGGTTTCTGTTCCTCCTTGTTGCTTCGTCTTCCCAAAGATGGGAGAGGTCCTTCTTCCCAACAGCCCTGCGAGGTAGGCTTCCAGATCCCCCCCCCAAGGTTTAAACCCAGCCTTTCCCATCATTATCCAAGCCAGGTTGATCAGAAAGGCTGCGTCGCACGGCGCGTTGTGTTAGCCACCCTCCTTTTTAGCTTAGGGCGTTGTGTGCATCCATCCATGTTTTGGGGGCAGCGCAGCAACCCGCAAAATTGGACGGATCGAGACAACCATGGTGTGGTTCACCCTCGATGAAGGCACCAAGGGGAACACAGCCCTTTTTGAAATCATGAATCATCGGCAAGTGATTCTTCGACCGACGGAGGAAGGAGCTGATCTTCCCCATTCTGGGGGAGAAAGGATAGAAAAGATGAAAATCTGCTTTTTTATTTTCGCAAGACGAGCCCGCGCTCACATTCTCAAGAAGATGCCCCACGTTGACGTTTGAACCATCCGTGTTTGTTGAAGCTAATCCCTAACAACGGCCCAGACCAACTTCCTAATGCTCGACTCGGTTAGAAGCAAATTCTTTTTAAAACATAGGATAGCTCAAGAGCAAGGATGGAAGATCGCACTCCCTACAATTATATTCTTTTTCAATGGGGCTTGCTCCTGAGTAGAGCTGGTGAGATAGCTCTGTGTTATCCATGTGTTTAATTTAATTTAATTTAATTTAATTTAATTTAATTTAATTTAATTTAATTTAATTTCATTTCATTTCATTTCATTTCATTTCATTTCATTTCACAGCCTAGTTTAGCTTACGATTGTATTCAGTGGGGAATTAAGGGAAATTGAATTAAAAGATATGTTTTGTTTTCTTTGATTTGATTTGATTTGATTTCGTTTCGTTTCGTTTCACAGCCTAGTTTAGTTCGTGATTGCATTCGATGGGGAATGAAATTAAACTGAATGAAAAGAAAACCCCTTTCAAATCAAATCAAAATTCCGTCCACCCCAGTCTTCTGCCCCCAGCAAGGAACAGCTAAAAATCCTGAGATAGCTTTAGAAAGAGGGGGCAGAAAGAGAGCCCCCCACATTTTTTTTGCCCCCTGCCTCTTATGAAAAACTTTCAGCAGAGTTCTTCACCTGTTCGTGCCAAGGACCCCTTTCTACATACATTAAAAAAATGCATTTAAATGAATAGCACAAAACCCATAGATACAACTGGTATTACAGAGCGTGCCAGTGATGTTCCCGCTGTTAACACATCACCAGGATGTAAGCTACTAATATAATAATAAATATGCCCCTTTATTGATCAGGACAAATGCAGTACGTATGAAAGACAGGCAAGTTGAAATAAAATGTCATTTATTATTTTTTTTTGAAGAGGGCAGTACCCCGAGAGAGCTAAGAGCTTTCAAAATCTAGCTTTTTTAAGGGTATAATCGTCCCAGATCTTGACGTTAGCCACCTTTTTTGGAGTCGAGAGGCCATCAATCGGTTGTCGGTGTTCCCCCATCGATCAAGAAGCTAAATGTCCAGGGGAGGTTAGTGAAAATAAAGTGATTTGTTTCCCACCCACGTTCAGGGACCCCCAAAGGGTCTTTGGCCCCCAAACTAAGAATTTAATAGAATAGAGCATAATCTAAATCTATACTTTGCAATGTGATCAGCAGATGGGAGGGATAAGGGGTTGCTTGTGAGCAAGGAAATGAAAGCTTGGCAGGAGAAGAGAAGTTTTTTTTTAATCTTGATGAGTCTGCACACGTCTTCCAGCATCCGCCCGTTTCAGTGTGCCAAAGCCCCAAATGTTGTCATCCTTCCTTCCAGGGGAATTTCTCTCTTCCCAGATGGTTTAGTTTCTCTCTCCAATCTCTTCTCTCACTTTCCGTTCTTCTTTCTTTCGCATTTTCTGGAATCCGCAGCATTGCGTCAAGGCGCTGGGTGTATATGTCACGCCAAGCCTAACCGTGGCTTGCTTTAGCCCGGCTTTGAGAAAGGGGTGGGAGAGGAGAACGAAGGATCCAGCCCCGGGAAAGCAGAATGGGTGAGGAAGAGACTCAAAGAAAGAGATTGCCTTGATCTTGTGGTCCTTCGGAAGGAACAGCGTGAAGGGTCTGGAGAAGCCTTCAAGATTGGGTTGGCCAACCCTACAACAAGGTCTGTAGGTTCGGCCATGCTGGTTTCTTGACCAGGCCTATCTTGAAGGGGGTAACATCAATTCTTTGGGAGATGGGCTACAACAGCCGGGTTCAACCCGCTCAGCCACATGTGATGCTCTGCAGAACAACGGCGACCTGGCCACCTTATCCTGATCTTCAGCCAGGCTGCAGGATGGCTTAGCGAGGGCTACTGAATCCGAGCCACACAACTCCAGACACTTTTTTGCAATTCTTTGGCTGATGTTTGGATTTTCACAGCCCCGGTCTGGGGGCTGTGGCTTTCCACGTGTGCCCCTCCAGCCTTTATGCTGCGGGAAAGGAAGGGACTCTGAAATGAATCCAAAGGGTTAGGGTTAGGGTTGGATAAATCTAACCCTGGTTGGGTTAGGGTTAGGGTCAAACCATTTAACCCTGGTTACATGTAACCCACCACGCACTGAATCGCACATCAGGGTTGGCTTCGTGGGTCAGGCAGAAGATTGTCCCTGGGCCTCAGAGAGCAAGACGTTGTGTTGATCTGAAAAGGCTGAGCGTTGCACATGGGTTGATTTTTGTATTCTGTAGGATGGAGATTTTCTCCACGTATGAGAATGCTTCTGGTCTGCAATAAAGCCGTTCTTTAGCCATGCGGGCTTGTTGAAACTCCTGCCAAGTCCAAACCATGACAATGAAGGTCTGGAAGAATCAGGTTTTGTTGCTGGGGCTGGCATCCGATAGCCAAGACGGTGGGTCATAACTGCCTCAATCCTGTTAAACCAAACGAAACTAAGCTAAGCTAAGCTAAACTGGAGATTACTGACGCAGCAGATTTAAAACTGTGGGAAGAGACATTTGCCAAGGCAATCTAGCACCATCATGGCTTTTTAAAGAGGAAACGGATTAAAAAGGAAACAAAGGACCTTTTAAAAAGGAAGTTGAACGCAAAAAGTCCAGAAGGACAATGCTTGGCGCCATTCCTGGTTGCTTAGAAAAGGACCTGATATGCACCCCAGAATTAATCGAAAGATTGCCCCTCCCAAACCATGATCAATCAAAGATACAAGGGTGGGAATGCCCCAAAGGAAAGCAAATATCTTGCATGGGGGGGGGGGATAAAAAGGAATGCAATCTTTTTTTGTATAAAAGAAACACATTTGGATCAAATTAAAAGAGGGTCCCTGCCCACCGGTCCCTCTTGATGCACAAAATCGGGTTCACCCGTTGCACACCATCCTTATCTGCAGTGGCTCTCATGGGGAGACTCGGGAAAAAATGGATTTGTCAGCTATCCGACAGCCACAGATCCTGGCTTTCCAAAAGCCATCACGGTAAACCCCAAAACGTAGCTTAAGTGGAACGATTTGCAGGAACGCAGCCTCGTGAACTGAACACGGATGGAATTTCCCTCTACGGATTCTTCAAGGCCTCCGAGATTCAGAAAGGCTGCAAGATTTTTAGAGGCTATGTGCTCCCTCGGTGGTCTGATTAAGGAACTGGGTATTCTCTTTGCTTTAAAATATATATATATTTATTTACACTTTGCAACATCAGAAATCACCCAAACTGTTGTGGTTTTGCGAAGCGCTTTGCTGATCTGATGGTGTTCAAGGACGGAGGCCAGACCAACAGCAGCTCGCATCTCTCTTGGTTTTTTATCTCCCTTTCAAGCCACAAGCAAATGTTCACAGAAATTCACAGAAATCGACTTGCGCCATACTTGGGTTTCCCAGGACAGCGCTGAAGAAGAAACATGATCCGTGTTACGCAGTAGAAACACTGATATAAAAGAGGCATCGGGGAGGACGTTCAGTTCAACCGGACTCATTGGACCAACAATTTGGTCTGGATTTATTACATTTCTTGCAACTTCTGGAAGTTGTAGAAACGGGTCAAAGTTCTCTGCGACAAACTTTGGGTCTAAAATCAGCCTCGCTGGCATGCCTCAGATCCTTCTGGCCCTTTCGGGTTCGTCCAGCTTGCAAGGTTGTTTGGGAGGCAGATAAAATGTGCCGTGTGCGTTGTGAGCAAATGGAGCTGCAACGTGTGAAACGAAACAGCAGCTGTATTCAGAGGAGACCTTAACTCACCATTAACTAGCTATTAACTCACACCCACCAGCCGGAAATGTTTTGCCCCAATAGAATTACCCAAACCCAGTTAACTGGGTAAACCATGAGTCAGTTCACCGCGGGTAAGTGTGTAAGCATGGCTGGCTAGGGAATTCTGGGAGTTGAAGTCCACCCGTCTTAAAGCATGGCTGGCTGGGGAAGTCTGGGAGTTGAAGTCCGCCCATCTTAAAGCTGCCAAGGTTGAGAAACACCAATCAGCGGAGAGTCAACGGAAATACATTTATTCCCCCAAAGTTGTTGTTAGCTTTGGATGATCGGCCATGGCAGGACTGCTTCTCCGTCCCCTTTTTATAGCTCTTTTAGTTTAAAGATTTAGCCAATCATTATCAATAGAATGGAATGTGTTAGCTTATTACAATAGTTTCTACTCTACCAGCACGAACATCTTCCTCCTGTACAATCCTTCCTTCCTTCCATAGTCTGCTAAAACAGATGTTTCCTTATCTTAGAATCATGGCAAACGTTCTTATTTATGGTTAAACAGATGTCTCCTTATCTAGTGCTTAAACAAAGGGCATTTTATTCTTCCTCCTGTACAATCCTTCCTTCCTTCCATAGTCTGCTAAAACAGATGTTTCCTTATCTTAGAATCATGGCAAACGTTCTTATTTATGGTTAAACAGATGTCTCCTTATCTAGTGCTTAAACAAAGGGCATTTTATTCTTCCTCCTGTACAATCCTTCCTTCCTTCCATAGTCTGCTAAAACAGATGTTTCCTTATCTTAGAATCATGGCAAACGTTCTTATTTATGGTTAAACAGATGTCTCCTTATCTAGTGCTTAAACAAAGGGCATTTTATCTTTCCTATACATATGTT